CTTGGGATTGGATCCCTGGCCCTGTTGCTCTCGGAGCCAAGTTCCTTCTCTGTGTGCTTTAGGCTGCCGAGCAGGTGGTGCTGGGCAGAGGGCGGTGGCATGGGGTCCGCTGAGCGAGGGGCTGCTGGAGCTAGCACGCCCACACAGTGGTGGAGAAGCCAGGGTGCCTGGGTAGCATGTGGAGTTTGTTCCAGGGGACGCTAGGAGGGGCAGCCACTCATGGAGTGTTGACTGGTGTGGGCAGGATGAGCCACCAAGAGCATTGGGTCCCCCCGCTGGCCAGGCTGTCACCTCTAGGCAACCACTAAGGGGTCGGTGGGGGCGATTCCTGGAGCTGGGCGAGAGGTGGGTGGAGGGGGCTTTTCAGTGAGAGCTGAGTTCTCCGCTGAGGGCCACAGGCTGCACTGCCGCACACCCAGGCTGCACCCTCCGCCTGCTCATGTCCCGCCAGGATCTGCCCTGGCCCCAGGCAGCTGGGGGCTGGCCAGTGCCCACTGCACAGGCCCCCCTCCCGGGGTGCGGAGGGGCTACGGAGGAGAGCAGGTGGGGTGGGGGCCAGTTAGAAAGTGAGTTGCCAACGTCGTGATGCTCAGAGACGTCAGAGGCACACCCACCGAGGGGCGTCACCGTGTCTGAGCACAGGGGCCTCCTCCGGCCACTTGTCGCAGGTACAAAGGCGTCTACGCACGCTTTACGGTCACGTTGCCCCTGTTGTCTCCAGCAGCCTCAGTGGCCTTCATTACTCCTTTCTAGCGCGTGCTCAGGGCTCACAGGCTGGTCTGGGGGCCACAGTTCTTCAGTCTGTATCAGTCTGTCGTTCTGCACCCCACCCCCCACCACCTCTGGTCTTTCTGATCTCCACATTGTGCAGAGTCCAGACCACTCGTACTGTGGGGTGTCCCACTGTGGGGGTCCTTGCTGGTTTCTTCCCGTTTATTTTGGGTTAGACGTCATTTTAGCAAAACACCTAGGGGACCTGGCCTGTGCCTGGCCTCCACCTCAGGAGGCCCACTGCCCGCTCTGACCTGAGAAAGGGCGGTTTCTGTTCACACAGAAACCCGTGGGGAGACCCTCTTTGTGACTCCTCTGTTTGGGTCTTCTCCCCTTTTCCTGTCAGATTTCTTGTTGCTTTTCCCTGACTTTTAAGAGTTCATCACATATTAGGAAGAGTAACTGTTATTTATGTGACAGACATTGTCCATCATTTTGACATTGGCCTTTTGATTTTGCTTCTGGTTTTGCCATGCAGAAGTTTCTTCTTTTTTCTTTCTTTCTTTTTTTAATTGTAGTTGAAAGTATCATTCTTTTTAAATATGGTGTTTGGATTTTGAGTCATAGTGTATTTTTCCGTGTGACCTTTAGCATCAGCCTATCTGGCTCAGGCTGGGTGGGGTGGGTCACACACGGGTGGGGGACACTGTCGTTTCTGGGCCAACTTGGAGAGAGCGGGCGGCTTTATGGTGCTGAGTCACCCTCCTGAGAACCAGAGCTTGTCGTGGACTCAGGGCTGCTTTCTGTTTCTGCCGGGAATGACAAATTCTCACCTTTTACAGGTCAAGCCTAACTTTTATCTTTCTTTTTTTTTTTAAGATTTTATTTATTTATTTTTAGAGAGGGAAGGGAGAGAGAAAGAGAGAGAAACATCAATGTGCGGTTGCTGGGGGCCGTGGCCTGCAACCCAGGCATGTGCCCTGACTGGGAATCGAACCTGCGATGCTTCGGTTCTCAGCCTGTGCTCAATCCACTGAGCTACGCCAGCCAGGGCCTCATCTTTCTTTATATTGCTATTGTAAATGGAGTTCTTCCCTAAATTCTTTTATTGTTTTATCAGGTGTACCGTTGAGTCCTTGGGTGTCCCGGGTGCCCTGTCCTGCCTGTGCAGATGTGGGCAGTCAGCGCTCCCCTCGGGCACCGCTGGGCCTCTGCTGGCCTCTCTTTCTGACCTCTCTCCCTGCGGCCTTGGCAATGCGCTCAAACAGTGCTGGGAGGTAATTAGGGTGTCTCTGCTGGGGTCCTGGTGGGTCCCGGCCACAGTGGACGTGGCTGAATTTCTCCAGGAGAAAGGGGCCTATGTCAGGGAGGCACAGACCCCTGTGTGGCAGGTGACAGTTCTGATAACAGATGCAGCGGTATTTGAAATTGTTGTTGTTAAACAAGAAGTAATAAAAGCAAAGGAAACATTTCACTAAAAAAGCTAAATTACAGAACTATGCCATAAACTGAAGGAACACAGAAAGGATAAATACAAACCCAAATTTTATTGAAATTAAAAAAAGAGAAAGGAAAAAGCCCATGAAAACATAAATTAACAAGATACGAAGGTTGTTTGTTTGAATACGTAAGTGAAGTCATCACCTGATGAGGCTGATGACTTGGGGCACGGCGGGAGGGACGGGCAGACGGATGGACTGACCACGCGGCAGCACTCGGGGACAAGAGTCTCCCGGCGCAATGGCCTGCCACAGACAGCGGCTGACTGCTAGGGCAGAGTGACTGATGAGACCCGAAACGCGCGCCGTGTGTCCTAATGAAGTTGGGGTGGGGCAAGAGTGTTCGAGCAGCCGCCGGTGCACCAGCACGTGGGCGCGCTCTCCCTGCCGTGTGAGCAGTCGGCATGAACCCAGGACACTGGGCACAGCCTGGCTGAGCCCTCCGCTCAGGGTTCCTCGGGCTGCGCCCCGGAGACCGGCCGGGGGAGGGAGGGTCTGTCCGTGCGCCCTCGGCCTGTGGGTGGGGGCCGTCCCCTGGGGGCTGTGGAACTGGAGCAGCTCTCCCAGCAGGGCTGCGGGAAAGCGTCCTGTCCTCAGAATCCAGCTCCCAGAGCCTCTCCTGGATGAGTCACCTGGTGCCTGACAAGGGCAGACCTACCCAGGACACACCCTTCTGATCAGCTGGCGGTGAGCTGGCTGGAAATCAGTCTGTGAAGCGACTTCACCTTTGCCCTGCAGTGTCACCTGGTCCGTCTCCAGGGTCCCGCCCCCACGGGGGAAGGGCGCCTCAGGTGGGGCACGCAGGAATCTGGGCCCTGCCTGCTCTAGGATGTTCTGGCACGTCCTGGCCCACCACATTTTATCACGACTGGCTGAGACTCTTACTGAAGAACTTCTCTGGTTTTTTTACTTTTATTTATTTCTTCTGTAACGTTCTTCCTTCTTAATGCAAATTCAAAATGTTGACTCATATAATTTTCCTTCTCCCTGAAGAAAATGATAAAACGTTTCTTTAGGGCAGAGCCCAGCACAGCCTCCACTTTGGGCTAAAATGAGAGTGTTTCTCTAAGATCTAGTTTGTGTGTTTATCTCTTATTCTTATTTTAGTGGCTTTAAAAATAACTCCGTGTTAACCAAACATGGGCTGGAGCTCCTAGGAGGCTGGCGTCCGCGTGGCCTCCAGGCCTTGCCTGGAGCTGCTCCGGGACAGAGCCACCACGCAGTCATGTGGACACGGAGCCCGTGCACCCGCGGCGTGCGGGGTGAGACCGAGGGGGTCGCGGTGCCGCCGCCTGCGGGGGGCAGGGCCCCGACAAAGGGGTGCCGTGGTGGGCGGGGCTGATTGTATGGAAAGTGGGACGTGCACGCGCTGGCAAGCGCTGCGGGTTTGGTCTTGGCAAGAGAACATGCCTAAGTGCGTGTGCACGTGTGTGCATGTGCGTACACGGGCATGCACACAGGCTTGTTTGTGCCTGATTGTTTAAGGGCCTGTCTTCTAGAAGTTCGGAGCAACAACCGACAGAGCCGTTCGGTGCTTCCAGTTGTTCCTGCGGTGGCCTGTGCCCGTCTCCCTGACAGGGTCCCCAGGGATGGTCAGGCATGCTCCTCGCGGTTCTCTCCGTGCCGGCTGGTCCGGAACAGGGACCGGAGGACATGCGCCCGGTCACCTCACTGACGTGGTGCTTTGTCGTTGAACTGCTTACCTTTGGTGGGACGAGACTGGAGGCAGATATGAGGATAGTAGACTGTAAATCAGTTGTGATTTCAGGAAGTTAGGATGTTCCTACGTCTTCAGGAAAGCATCAGGGGAGTTAGACGGGGGAGGGGGCTTCCGTGCCAGGCAGGCAGAGCGTGTACGCACAGTACAAAGAGCCACGTTGAGACTGCCGGTGTGCAGCCCTGCGGACCGTGTTCTCGGCCCTGATTCCGTCACCTGGTGTCGTCCCTTCGGCGGGTGTGGTCGAGATGGTGGGATTGGCCGGGGTGGGGCACCCAGGGCAGTGGTTTCAGTGTGTCCATGGGGTGGGGGGGCAGCCACCACCACAGCCAAGCCTAGCAACCTCGCCGCCCGCTGTCCCTGTGCACTCGTGGTTCCACGCGTCCCACAGAGCAGAGCCACGTGTGGTCGGCCCATGCGCTTCCTTCCCTCGCACTGTGTCCGGGAGGCGCCTCCATGCTGCAGTGGTCAGTGCTTCCGCCCTCTCTCGGCCGAGTGATGCTCTCTCCTGTCTCCGGCCCGCTGGCTGCTGCGGCTGACCCTGGGGATGCGGCGGCCGTGTGGGCACAGGCGTCATTCTCCCTGGTTGGGTGTGGACCTGGGAGTGGGGTGCTGCACCGCATGGTGACTCCGTGCCCAGCAGTTTGAGGCCCTCCCGGTCGTTCCCACCTGCAGGATCTGAGGTCCCGTCTCCGGTTTCTGCGCCCCAGGGGAGGGGGGTGGGCGCTGCAGCCCCGTGGTTTGGATCTGCCCTTCCTGATGGCTGATGTGCTCGGCATCTTTCCGTGTGCTTGTCGGTCTTGCTGCTCAAACCCTCCGCCCAGTTTTAACCGGTCGCTCTCTGTTCGGGCACTGTCGTCTCTGCTCCCCTGGGAGGGTGACGATGGAGGTGGCAGTGCCCTCCTCAAGTGCAGAGCGGGTCCCCCGTGCGGAGTGGGTTCCCCGCCCCACGCAGAGACCCCCACCCCCACCCCGAGGTCTGCAGGTAGGTCCTCATCACAGCAGCTTCTGCTCGCGGCGGTTCGGGGCGGGGTCCGTGGTCTGACCGCCTTTTCTTTTTCTTCTCGTTGCAGCCAGAGCACCTGCAGAAGAACTGGCTTCGGGAGTTCTACCAGGTGAGAAGTGCTGCGGCAGCGGCTCTGCCGGACCGACTGCCCGTGCGATGAGCACTGTGTTTCCGTGGAAGGCGCGTGTGTCCGCGTGGCGCGCAGGCGTGGCTGTCCTGAGCCGATGAGGGCAGGTGTCACGGTTCCTGCCTCACTGCCCACTTCCTCCGCAGGGGCCCCTCTCCCACCCCTCCTTCTGGCCAGGATTCCCGGCTGGGCGGGGCCTCCTCATTATTGGAGGGGAGGCTGCCGCAAGCTTGTGGGGGTATTAGGGTGCCTTTTGGATGGGTCCTAGGGTTGCAGCATGACAAGACCATGCAGAGGGGCCCCGTGGGGTCTGGGCAGAAAGTGCAGGTGGCTCTCCGGGGAGGTGCTGTCAGGGCCAGGCTAGCTTCCAGCTCCCTCTGCTGAGCCGCTGTTGGCTGAGGCCCCGTCTTCGGGGAGCTGTGCTCTGGAGGCTGAGCGGCTTCTGTGATGTGGCAGACAGGGCTCTGGTCCTGGGGACACGGATAACTGGCACAGCCCAGGACAGCTGAGGCCCTTCCACGACAGGAAGGACAAGCAAGGTGGCCACGTGGTCCTCGGTGGAGCATGTGCCAGGCGTGTGTGCCAGATCGCAGGTGGGGCGTTCTAGAGGCCCCTCTGGGTGGGAAGGGCGTCCATCTCAGCTGGGGTGGCAGGCAGGTGAGTGTGGCTGCGGCCCAGAGGGCTGTCCCAGGCCAAGCTCTGGGTTAGGGTGGCCCATGCGCAGCCAGTGAGGGTGGCCCAGCGGCTCCACCTCCTGCAGTAAACGCCGGGAACTGTGGGGCCAGCAGTGCTGGCACATCTACGTCTCCCCCAGTGCTCAGGCCCCAGGGTCAGGGCAGCAAGGGTCCCACTCCCCTTCTGGAGTGGGCAGTGGGGACCCAGGGGAAGAGACTCGAGGCAGGCATTGCTGTCCCTTGCCGTCCATCGAGGTGTGTCCCCCGACGATGTGTGGAGGGGCGTCCCTCCCTCACCCATTGACGTGCACTGTCTGCCAGGGGCCGTGCTGGGTGTCGGGCAGAAGGCGGATTCCTGGGGAGGAGCTGAGGCCCAGGCACAGGGTTGTCAGGAAGGAATGCCCTTGGGGATGGGGCAGGTGAGAGGACACGCAAAGGGGGGTCTCAGGAAGTGACGGGGACCGGGCGTCCCATCGCCTGGGGGGTCCTGCACCCTTCCTTCCCCACACTCTGCTCTTCCCAGGTGGATGCCTGGTGTCAGGGACCCTGGTCGAGGCCGGGTTGGCAGGCCGCGTCCTGTGACAGGTCCATCGGGAAGCTGTGCTGGGGCGGGCAGGCCCCCTCTGGTTAGGGTTGCACAGGGTCCACGTCCCACCTCTGTCCCAGCCATGGGGCGAGAGTCCCGGGGGGTAGCCCGAGCCCTCCAGTCCAGCTCCTGGCCCCTGGGTCTGTCGCTTTTGGCGAAAAGGTCTGTCACGTTACGCTGCAGCTTTTGCTCCTTCGCTTTTCTGTCTGTGTGATTTTCACAGGTGGGGCTCGGGGGCTCCGTGTGCGGCAGAGTCTGAGGTTGTGAGGGCACGTCCAGGAAGGGCGAGCGGGCCTCCGGCCTGGCTCCAAGCTGGGAGGGCTCCTGGCAGTGCCGACCCCAAGGGACCCTGCGGGAAGCCTGTTCGGGCGCAGGGGTCTGCCCTCAGGCAGGGTCCCTGAGAGGCGGCCCCAGGAGATGTGGGGCATCGTGGCTGTCCCACAGTGACAGTGCCCCGTGCAGGTGCTGGTGCCACTCTGCCATGGACTGCGTGCATGTGCCCCAGATTCCTGCTGAAGCCGGACCCCAGTGGGGTGGTATCCGACGGGGCCTTGGGGGTGATTGGGGTGACATGTGGCCATGAGGGTGGGGCCCCAGGACAGGCCCATGCCCTTGTAAGGAGGGGCGGCGACCGCTGCTCGGGAGGTGCCAGGTGCTGGGGGCCAGACACTCCTGCCCTTGGGTGTGCCCTGGCCCTGCAGAGAGGTGTTCAGACACCCCTCAGGGTGGCCCAGGGGTGGCCTGGGAAGGAAGTGGACCACCTGGGGGCTGGGGTTGCAGGTCCGTGGGGGTCAGGAGAGCTCCTGCAGAGGCTGCGTGGAGACCTGCAGCTCCAGGCAGGAGCAGCCTTCTGCCTCGGTTGGGCAGGTCTGACCGCACTTCTCCAAACCACGGGCAAGGCTGCTCGGTTCAACCCTCTCCGCTCCTGAGACGGTGACTTGCACGTGCGCTCGCGGGGGCGGGCACCGGTCTTGCTCGGGGCCGCGTGCCGAGCACCCGGACGCGTGTCTGACGCGCCGTTCGTGCTCAGCAGCTCCTCGCTGAGCAGCACTCGGGAAGTTGCACGACGCAGGAGAGCATAAGTAAATACATGCCCCCACTCCCACCCCGCCCTGCTCTGAGGTCCGCACCCCCGTGTCTGACCGTCTGTCCGTCCATGCACCGGCGCCGGCAGCCTCCCTCAGCTGGTCCTTGAGTCAGTGTGCTTTCACAGCCCGCGGTTTGGGGGTGAACGAGGAAGTGTTTGTAGGTAGATTAATATGTACTACCCATTTTAATGGCTTTGGAGTACTTTATCATATGAATAGGTCATCATCGAAATTAAATTAAAGTTTTTCTGTCGATGAACCTTAGGTTGTTCAAATTTATAGTAATGTTACTGATCAATTCTAAAATTGATACAATTTTGGCTTGCATACAAATACAAAATAAGCGAGTATTGAAGATTTTTTATTGTGATAATAAATATTTATTATTTGTCAATGGGCAGACTAGGAGGGTGTTCTAAGTGTCTCAAATAGAGTCTCCTGTCAGCGGTGCTGGAAGGAGTTTGCAGAATAGACGCAAAGCCGGCCCGTAATTACTGCCCTCCCTGGACCCTGTGTCCCTGCGGTCGGGGATGTGTGCGTCACCGTCGGCTTTTAGAATTCACAGAATTGTCACACTGGAGACACCCCAGTAGGTGAGCTAAACAAGCCCCTGACATTTTTTTGTCCATTTAAAAGTCACAATTTTTGTGACAATTTAAAAAGTACTGTGTTGAGCATATCTGCCTCCACCGATGTGGAGGAACCTCCTGCTCAAAGAAATTAAAAGCAGAAAACATCTGAAACAGTGGTTTTCAAACCTCAGACATCAGGCAGGACAGGGCAGCAGCGGCCGAGAGAGGGGCGGGCCAGCCGCTGGTGGCCGGGAGGGTGTTCCCGGCAGGTCCCGAGCAAGGTAAGAGGGACAGCTGTGCTGCTCACATGTGACCCCACTTTCTAGGCGGCAGAGAGGCAGGAGTGCGGGGCTGGGCGGGAGAGGACCAGCTGTGGCACGGCTGTGGCCGCAGAGAGCTGCGTCTGGCTCCAGGCCCGCCCCTGCCCGTCCTCACAGATCTCGGCATGATGGGCCTTCCTTCTGCTCACTTGGGGTTTCATTCGCTCTCCTGTGTCAGCTTCTGAGGGCGGGAGACAGATACGGCCAATTCAGAAATGGGGCGGGGGCAGCGTTAAAATGAGAATAAGGTAAATACTGTGACCAACTCTGTGTTTGAAAGCCTCTGTGAAAGGAGCGTGTTTTTGGAAAATAAAGCACCAAAGAAGAAATAAATGGCCTCAATGGCTGTCTCTTTGTTTAGTTCAAATCTTGCCCAACTTTCCCACAGAACGCTCTCCAGGACCAGAGAAACGACAGTTCCATGAACCTCCTCAGGAAGAGCGAGCCCTGTGTGACACTTCCTCCCTTGCCTGCCTGCGACACGCCCCCGCTGAGCGCCCGAGGGGAGGCCGACATTCTCCGTGCAGGAAGTGCAGAAACTCTGACAAATGAAGTCTGTGCATGTGCACCTGTGTTACGTGTCAGCAAACAGGTTGTGGACACACGAACACACGAGCAGCACTGCGTCAGAAGAGGTCATTGCCGGTCCCCAGGCCAGACTCGAAGAGCAGAGCCGTGTCACTCGGGAGAGGACTCCAAAGAGCAGAGGACTCGCCTGTTTCTTAGGCCTGGGGAGTCCATGCCTTCCTAAGATGAACACCAGTGAACTGACTTAGTTTGCAACATCTGAGGTCACTTTGAAAACATCTTTTTCATGTTAGCTGCGAACAGTCGAAACTTAGGAAATAACACCTCTGAAAGCACTGACATAGTTGCATATAAGTCTGATGGAACACGCTAGTATCTGCACACCAAAAAGATGGAGCACTGATGAGAGAAACAGGAGGAGTGCAGAGACACCGTGCACCTGGGTGGGGAGATTCGCTGAGCTCCCTTGAGAACGCCACTGACCCGCCTGCGGTCTGACCCAGGGCCCACCGGGATCTCCGCGGGCGTCTGGGGAGAAGACTGCAGGGTGCTTCCAGGGCTTAGGGGGGCAGCACCAGGACGAGGATAAACAAGACAGCTTTGGAAAGACTCACACGGTCTGATTTCAAGACTTAGTGTAAATCGACTGCATTCAAGACACTGTCCTCATGGCAGACGGACAGAGCTATGGGTCATGGAGCAGAAAGGGACCCCCGCACAGATGGCCAAGTGACAGGCAGAGGGGAGAGGCAGTTCATTAGAGAAAGTGCGGTGTTTTCAACCATTGGCGCCAGAACAACTGGATGTCTACATGCCGAAAAAGGTTTTTTCTATACTTTGCAGCATATGCAAACATTAAAATAGGTTGTAGACCTAAATGTTAAAATTACAAAAGGTCTAGGAGAAAATCTAAAACAAAAATCTTTGTGACCTTACATTTGGCAAAGATTTCTTAGATATAACACCAAAAGTACAATTCATGGAAGCAGAACATTGATGATAAATCAGAACTTAAAATCAGGAACTCGTCTGTGAGACACTGTCAGTAAGTGAAAAGACCTGTCCCAGGTGGGGTGGCAGTATGTGCAGACCACGCGTGATGAGGAGCTGCACTGTACAGAGAACTCTCAAAAGCCAATAAAAAGAAAGCAAAGAACCCAAGTTAAAAATGCATGAAAGATTTTAACAGACATTTTACCGAAGAAGACACAATA